TTGGACTATAACATATATATATATATATATATATATATATATATATATATATAATAAAGATATTTTTATGTTTATACGTTCTTTTTATAGATACAAATACTTAAGTAGATGCTCAATACTTTGTTATCCATCTATTTATTCACGTATTTGTTTATGTATTTATTCACGTATTTGCTTACGTATTTATTCCATCTATTTATTCACGTATTTGTTTATGTATTTATTCACGTATTTGCTTACGTATTTATTCACGGATTTGCTTACGTATTTATTCACCGATTTGCTTACATATTTATTCACGTATTTGCTTACGTATTTGTTTTGTTTTTTATATTAACTAACTTTAACTTAGTAAGCCTAAATGAATCTAAGAAGATTGTAACCCGCCTGCCTTCGTATTTGAAATCCTGACTTGTACCTGAACTCGAACACTGATGAGAAAGATGCAAGTATTTCAGACCCCAAGCAGGATAAATATATGAGTTAATTATCCTGGTTAATGTTTTTAAAATTACATATTATCATACGTCAGTATTTTCAATCGTTGGCCCTACGCCTAAACTTGTATCTTTTTCTGAAACTATTTTTAGGTTTTGACTCAAGAGTAATGTTTCTGTCTTAAGTTCTGATTTAGTGATTTTCGTTCCAGCAAAGCCAGCTGGGAAGGAAAAATATTTCTTCTCAACCGAGGCTAAAACAACTTGCCTCACCAGTTGTTTGTCATAGGGAACTTTCTTTCTATGTCTAATATAAAGAAAACTATATATATTTTAAGTAGAGGGAAAAAAAATTAATTTTCTATTTTGTTTTTTCTTTCTTTTGGAACTCATCGTAATTTTACTTTCGACAAATGACTTTTAAAAGAAGTACGTCAACCCACTCTATTCCCGGAAAGACATTGTTGCGCTGACCGTTCATTATTGTTCAAGATTGCACATTATCCAGCATTATACGCTCAGTTTTTTATGCTTTGTCGACGACGAGGTGAGCTCCACTTAGACACACACGTGCGCCTTTTTACCGCGGGCTTTTACGCATGACAAACCGGCAGCCACCCGTGGACTGAGACCTCAATTCACCTTTCGTTCTTTATTGTTGCTAATATTGTTCTATGTTGCTCTTGTTGTTGATGGTGGTGGAATTGGTGATGAGGGAGATAGAATTGAAGAGAGAACGGGGGGGTATTGGGATGGAAAGAAAGAGATAGAAATATGGAAGGGAATTTTAAAAAGTGATAGAATGAAAAAAAGAGAGTAAATTAATAGAAAAGAAAGAGGAGGGAGAAAGACGAGAGTCGAAGAAAAAGTGAAAACGTCACCGGGTAATAAGAGAAGGAGGTTAGAAAGAGTTAATAACTATTGGGAAAGAGAGAAAAAGAAATAGGTGTGTGAAAGAGGAAAGGGAGGGTGAGGAGAAAGTATGAAGAGAGAAAGGAGTAGAGAAAAGACGACAAGAGAGGGAGAAGGAAAAGAGGAAAAGAAAGGAGGAAAGAAAAGACGAGAAGAAAAGAAGAAAGAAAAGACGAGAAGAAAGGAAGAAAGAAAAGAAGAGAAGAAAGAAAAGACGAGAAGAAAGGAGGAAAGAAAAGAAGAGACGAGAAGAAAGGAGGAAAGAAAAGGAGAGAAGAAAAGTAGAAAGAAAAACGAGAAAAAAGGAAAAAAAGGCAAGAAGAAAAGAAGAAAGAAAAGATGAAAAGAAAGACAGAAAGAAAAGACGAGAAGAAAAGAGGAAAGAAAAGAAGAGAAGAAAGAAGAGACGAGAAGAAAGGAGGAAAGAAAAGAAAGAAGAGACGAAAGAAAGAAAGAAAAGAAAGAAGGCAAGAAAAAAAGAAGAAAAGAAAAGATGAAAAGAAAGAGAGAAGAGGAAAGAAAGAAGAGAAGAAAGGAGGAAAGAAAAAATGAAGAAGAAAGGAGGAAAGAAAAGAAGAGAAGAAAAGAAGAAAGAAAAATGAGAAGAAAGGAGGAAAGAAAAGAAGAGAAAAAGAAAAGACGAAAAGAAAGGCAAAAAAAAAGAAGAAAGAAAGAAAAAAAGGAAAAAAAAAAGAAGAGAAAGAAAAGACGAGAAGAAAGGAGGAAAGAAAAAGAACGAGAAGAAAGAAAGAAGAAAAGAGGAGAAGAAAGACAGAAAGGAAAGATAAGGAGAAAGGGAAAAAATAAGAGACGAGAAGAAAAGAAGAAAGAAAAGGCGAGAAGAAAGGAAGAAAGAAAAGGCGAGAAGATAGGCAGAAAGAAATGAGGTCTACCAAAGTTTCACTAATATTTTTCTAATTCAGGCACCATAAGTTCTGAAGGACTTTCACGTAAATTCTATTAAAATGTTTTCGAAAAGATATTTCCCTTTTTAGCTTAAGTGCACAGAATAAAATAATATTTCGAAGAATCTTTCTCAGATGTTTTCCAGAAAGAATTGTCAAATAATCGCAGTTGAATGCTTCGCAGTTTTATGAATTTACTGGAAGAAAATGAATAAAAACGTAGATTTGTTTCTATATATTTATGACGTCAACGGCTAGCAGGCCACAGAGATGAGGCATCCAATGACACATGTTTATTAATCAGTGTTTTATGGCAGTTACTTTCTATGAAAGTGCTTTTAAATGATACCAGAGCTGACTCCTAGATTTTATTAGACTAAACCAATTTTCGTGTCAACTTCGAGGAATGAGTTGCAATGATATTTGGCATCTGAAACTGCGAGCATCTCATAAGCTACTTTTATTTTAAGTAAAATTTGATATGCCTTTAGCTCACTGTTTCTCAAAATTTCAAGCAACCTCGAAGCAAATGAAAACATCACGGCACACTTAGCTAAATTTCTAAAGGGTATACATTTAAATGTTATGAAATAAAACCATAAATTTAAAGAAATACACACGCGCAACTGTGAACTTATTTTTATTTCAATATTTCTATTCAACAATTTGTGCAGCTTATTTAATGTGAAACCTGTGCCTGGTGTTTTTTCTCGATTTCTTCAATGTTTGGTCGAATGTGCGATAAGGTTATCCTTATTTCTTCTTCAGCTGAGTGGGGTCTTTCTTGCTTCTTATTTTTCTGTTATTTAGGGTTGAGAAGCCTGATTCATATAAATAAGTAAAAAACTGCAATAAAACTAATAAAGGCTTTTTAGCTAACGTGGGCTAAAAAGTTTAATACTTATTCATTTATTCAAATACAAACGCTATAGCTTTACTACTTCAATACGCACACACATATACATACACATACACACACACACACACACACACACACACATATATATATATATATATATATATATGCTGTGACAATATTTCGCAGCACGCTTAAGAGGATCACGTGACACAGTAGTGTGCCACGGAATGACTGTTAAGAATCCCTGATTTCGAAGAACGTTCATTCAGAAAAAAAAAAATGTGCGGATTTTATTTATTTAGAAATGTTATCATTTTGTTGCAAAGATAGACATCTAATTCTCTCATATCGTTACAATAAATAACTAAACCAATTCGATTCGTTTAACTTTAATTTTTTTTCGTTATTTTTAACTGCGTAAGTAAAATATTATGCCCATTATACAAAATAAATAGATACATTTAAAAACTAAAAAAAGGACAATATATCATGACGTCCGAACTTGGGCAGAACCATGTTAAGTTATTGACCTTTAAAACCTTTAGCACTCTATAGGTAACTATTTTCGCCAAGCAAAATGTTAGTCTTGCCAATGCTTGTTGAATTTGAATTTCTTGCTTGTGTAGTCATATCCTTCTATGGCAACACCTAAAAAAATCATGACTGAAATTGTCAGGTCACTGCAATATATAGAACTAATATATAAAACACTATATTTTGAGGTGATTGCATATGCAGTAAAAGAGAAATATTTATAAATAATGTGCAGAGTGCTAAATATTAAATATTGCATCAGATATATTCCTGATAAAATTATGCTTTTTAAATATTTAGTGATGACTCAGTTTAATTTCAGTTTTGATTTGGTTTACAGGATTGGTATTGCGCTTAATTCTTTTAAACGAATATTCATTCGTAGAAGAAACCAGAGAAAATAGATAGAATTATTCTGAATTCAATGGTGTTTTCCCCTGAAAATTGCATAATCATTAATGGATTGCATTTGAAGATCGAAAGTGTCATGAAGAGTCAGAAAAAAAGTCAGAAAAAAAAAAACAGTATAGAAGAACAAATGATCGACCCCCTTTGGAGAGAAGGACTTGAAAATACGTTACTGGATTAATTGAACAGCGAGGATAAAAACTTATCCAGATGATCTTTCAGCCTCGACTTTTAAACAGGTTTAAACACGTACAAATTTGTTGAACTTTTGCTTAGATTGACATTCAATAAAATGAAGTGTTAAAGAAAAATCTTGAGCCGTTGTCGCTATAACAAAGCGCGTTCTTATTACTCTTTGTGTAAAGGATGAGCGCGATCCCTTTAATTCTACTGAAGTGGAAAGAAAAAAGTTCAATAGGAAAAGTTAAACACCTCATGTAAAGAGACGATTTAAAATTCTTTGTTTCAAATAAAAAGAAACCATTTTATATACAATTATATTAAAACAAAGAAAGATAACGAACAAAGAAAAAAAAATACTCACCGAAAACAATCGAATAAATAAATAATGTTTAATATTTTTGTTATAAATTATCAAGAACAACAAAAAAAGATGTGTAAATTCACTTTCATCATTTGTTTAGATTTGATTCCAATTCTGATCGTTGCTTTTTATAATAATAAACATTGCTGAACATTAAAGATAGTTAAAAAAAAGCAGGAAAAATCCGTTCCTTTGATCCTATGTCTTATTGTGGGAACGTTTAGCTATGTTTCCAACATTTTCATGTATTGGTGAAGTCGATTTTAAAAATAAGTCTAAACGTGCTGGTAGCAGAAAATAATGCTACAAAAATTCATCGTGTGGTATTCTCTCATGCTTCCTTCATCAACTGGTTTTAAATCGATGTTCTTTTGTTGACAAATTGTTGTGGATTCCGTGAATGGAATCCTGCACAAATAAAAAAAAAAACACCAGTAATTGAGATAGAAAAATAAGTGTATTAAACGTAAGAATACAGACTTGAAGTGAAGATTAGTAGTCCAGGAATGCGGGTTAGTAGAAAGTATATGTACAAGTCTCTGTAAGTAAAGCCGTAATCATCTCTCTCTCTCTCTCTCTCTCTCTCTCTCTCTCTCGAACATCCTGTGTCTGTCTCCGTATCTCTCTCAACCTGTCTCAACGTATCTCCACGTATCTCAACGTATCTCGGTATTTAATATTCCACCCACGAGGAATATATGTGGCACAAGGCCGAGTTTAAAGTGGGTTACACCGAGCCCGTAGGCTCTGCCAAAAATATACCCTTTAAACCCGCTTAGACGGGTTCAGGGCCTGTCTACCTCCCCGGACGAAACCTTGCCCTTCGGCAAAGCTTCGTCCGGGTTCCTCTCTGCTAATGCAGAGAGTTCGACAGACGTCGAGACTATATCTCAACGTATCTCAACAGCAGGTATTCTCTCTGTCAGTATAAGTATACTTTGGACGAATCCATCTTATGTAAAAAGGGGAGAGACCCACAACACAAATCTACATTTTTTTGTTTCTTCTCAGAATTAAACAATAAATTCTTTCCTTTTGATTAATAACGTTTATGCCGACATGTAAAATTTTGGTCTCTAACATTTAAAGTATGCCTACTTTTGGCAATGGAAAGATAAAAGTATCTGAACGAGTCATTTTTCAAAGATTAATGGAAGGGAAGTGACCCATGAAACTGATAATAAATATCAATTTTGTTTTCAAATATTAAAACTACAGTGTAACCCGGATATAAGAGACTCGGATATAAGAGAAACCCGGATATAAGAGAGATTTTCTCTGGTCCCAAATTAGAACCTGTGTTAATGTATATGAAATAGACCAAACCCGGATATAAGAGAAACCCGGATATAAGATACTTCTCCGGTCCCGACAACTCTCTTATATCCGGGTTACACTGTATCTCTTAACGAGAGTTGCTGAAAAGCTTCCAAAACGAATTCTGACATTGGTTTCTATTTTGGGAAGTGAGTCAGACTGAGAACTTTTCAGCACTCCCCACTCACTCACGTTCTCTCTATGTACTATGTCCTTTCATGACATGGCTGATCATGGTTCTCCACAACTTCCTGTCTATTGTTACTCTAAGTAATTCCTGCCCCATTACCACCCCTCTTTGTGGTACTCTGTATCTTTCAAGTCAGTTACTCGCTGTTTTTCCCCTGCTTTTCTTGTCATCGGTGTTCCTGTGAGTATCAATATCTCCAAGCATTCTTTCCGCATCACGAGTCTCAAAATCTTCAGCTGTCAATTAACAACAGTTTCTTGCGGTACAGGTTAAAGAAACTCGGCGAGAAAACTTATCATTGTCGCAGTTCTTTTCCTTTTTGTGTCTATTTGCTTATCAGTTGTTTGTTCTCAGTAAAGTTTACGGTTTATTTAATAATCCACCTCATATATGTTTGAATATTTGATACATATCGTTATGTTATTAAATATCTAACATGATGCATAAAAAGCGATAAATTAAGTATATTTATGCAAAACTACTTACTGTTAAGGTTGACAATAGGCGAAACAGCTATTTACGAGGTTCGATTACACACTAACATCTGTTCTAATTTTAAACGCATTAGGATATCCTTTGTTTATTTAGCTATAAACCATAAATTACTAGCAGCTCAAAGGAAAATTCTTTTTAAATACTTTCTCTTTTCCTACTTATAATCCTCTTTTAAAATGGTTTCTCTACTGGACACACGTAAAAATAAAGCACTGCTATATTAATTTTATTTTTAAAAGTGTTGCAAACATTTAAATGAGATCGGTGAATGCTTGTATAATAATGATATAATGGAATATGCATACACCCGTGTTACCCCCTCATTGGCTGGTGTCCGTTATAAATACAGACGGACGCGTAGGAGAGTCAGAAGAGAAGTCAAAGAGCCTTAGTCTGAGAGCTAAGTCTATAACGACGCCCATTGGACTACGCCATTGATCTACACTTCTTACCTGCGACTACGACGCGTACCAGTCGATTACTGCTACCGTATTCTACTTGGTTATAGTAGCTAAAACCACTTAGCTACTTCGTTCAAATATATCCCTTTCCGGGACATATCAAGTAATTAATTAGATAATTAAGAAAATGGTTTTGTAGAATGAATTGTCCTAAATAAAAAAGAAAGAAATCTAGTGACATGTTCCACAGTGTCAGGAATGAAGATGATGCCAATCACTGATGTTCTTATTACAACTGACAACAGAATCCCTATAGCAATTTTTGGAAGAATTACGGAAAACATTCATTAGAGGTAGTATATGTTCATAGAAAGGTTGCTCTTGAGGTAGGCACAATAGGGAAATGGATCAATAGTTAATAACAATCCAAGAAAAAGGAGAAACTGACCTTAGTGACAGGTCCTGTAGTGGTAGGCCAACTGCTGCTATGAGTGAAGATAATGCCAAACACTGATGCTCTTTTTACAATTGACAGCAGAATCACTATTGTAAAGCTATATGAAAAGCCTTAAGGTGAGCCTACAGTTTAGTGGAATCTCTTGACTGTTTAAATGCCTGTTTAAAATGAGTTCCTAGAATGCTAAAAAAAAAACTGCATGAAGGAGCAGAGGGTAGTGACTTAACAAGACCATCTGTAGCTGCACATCACAAATAGCAACTTTCTAAACAAAATAGTTGCAGGAGAAGAAATCTGTGTTCATGCAAAAGATCAATGGCGTGGTGTCATACAAACTCAGTTAAAAACAAGTTTAAGGCAGAATGTTCTGCAGGGAAATTGATGGCTACTGCATTTTGAAGCCAAAATGATGTCATCATTTTAAGAGTTAAAATTACTGTCAATTCAAACTTTTAGGTAAACACATTGTCAAAATTTTGAACAAGGCTTCTTTGAGCTTGCTCACATTTGTAGATAAGTGATGTGATTTTTTAATACGTCATGGCAAGGCCTCATGGAAGCTTAAAAACCAGACAAGCTATCACAGTGCATAGCTGGACAACCTGACCTCATCCACCCTACCGTCCTAACCTAGTACCATTAGACTTTCATCAGTTTGGGCTCATAAAGATAGCACTCTAGGATGAAGTAAAAGGCAACTTGTATATAGGTAAGAAGGTAGCCAAAAAGCTTTTAAAAGGAGGGATATGTATTTTCATTTAAATGTGTAATGTGACGATTTACAAGAAAGGAAATCACATTGAGGACTAAATTTCGAATTCTAAGATTTTTGGGGTTCATGTTATATGATTTTGTATTCTAGTATTAAAACTGTTGACTAAAATAACCAATGTTCGACTGGCACGGTTTTTGACAACGATCACAGTAGCAGAATACTGTGGAGTCATCCACCGTGTGGGGGATTTGTGTCCTTGTCTAGACTCTACGGTGCGCTGGACACTATTCTCTTCATAGCTCTTTGCTCCCGCGAAAACAGCAGCTCTCCGCCCCACTTGATTCCTAGCAACCAAATCCCAGTTCGCAACATTGATAGACAATGCCATCATGGACGATTTACACTGGCTCTTGAAGCGAAACTTGGGTCGTCCAACGTTACACATGCCGTCAATTTCCCATACAGTATCTCTTTGGAAATTCTAGAGTTATCCATCCGTGCGACGTGCGCAAGCCACCTGAGACACCGAGACCGCAAGATGGGATATAGTGACTGAATGCCAACTCTTTCGAGAACCTCTATCCGCGACCTTATCTTGCCATTTAATTTTTAAAATATTTCTTAAACGTCTCGTGTGAAAACTAAACCTCCTCTCCTGACCAGCATACAAGACCCACGTCTCACTCCCAGAAAGAAGTGTTGAGAGGACGGATGTTTAGTAAATTAGAGTTTTGGTTTTTATTTTAAGTTTATCATTTTCCCATGCTCTTTACATAAGGCTCCTGAATGCAGCTGGGGCCTTTCCTATACTGTCTGCCAATTCCTCTTCCAAAGATAGGATCGATGTTATGGTGGATCCTAAGTTAAAAAAAATATGTTTTCAGAGATTCACCGCCAATTTTTGTCTCTGGTGGTGAGTCTGTCTCTTGTCCTATTACCTCAGTTTTCTTGACATCACATACTAACATATTAGCAATTATTAAGTACTAGCAGCATGGACCGGCGTTGCCCGTGCTTGATTAAAAAATCGTACGACTCATACAGCAATCGCTATCACTTGATTAAAATATTTTTGCCCTTCCTTGCCTTTAAAGGAGTGCCCTTTGCCGTGCTGATGTTGCTAAATGCCTTACTTCTTGACTATCTCACACTGCGAATTTTTTCTAAACTCTATACTAAACATTAAATCTGTTACGAAAAAAGAACTAAACAAAATGAACACAAAACGATCAGCTTTAAAAAAGGACTCGTAACTGGAAAAACCGAATGAAAAAAGAATGTTAACAACAAATACTTTTTCACACCCAACCCAGTTCTGCGGAATCAGAATCAACGTTGAGTTTAAGCAAGCGAATGAGCCAATTGGAGTAAAGTGCCATGCAGATTTAAATTTTTCCCACTTGTGACGAATGCAGCTATCGATTTTTTTTGCATGCTAGCATGCTTAGTTAACATTCGTGTCTGTCAGCTGTTGGCTCTCACGCTGACCAATAGAATCTTCCTGCCTATTCGTGGCAGCCAGCTATAGGCTCTCACTCTGGCCAGTAGAAAATGGCCGCAAACTACATGAAAACTGTCATAGAAGCATGAAAAAAAAATCGATTATTTCCACTATCGATGGGAGTTGGGAAATGCAAAGTCGGTTTTGGCCTTCCCGCTAACTTGGAGCATGTGCATGTAAAATTTGGTGCAAATCCGTCGAAAATTGCGGCCGTGCATTCGTCACACACACACGCACACACACACACAGACACACACACATATCCTGCCTTTTATAGATAGAGATAAACACAAAGTTACAACTATAGAGTATTCAAATAGCGAGAAAACTGGCTACTTTTTCTTTATAATATTCACCTAATAGCCACTCAACGTATTGAGCTACTGAATGATATATAAGAGTAAGATGTGAAGGTGAGAAGTGCAGTTTATGTGGCTATGTAGGGGAGATAACTGTTAACCCTAGACTTGAAGATGTTAAGACTGTAGTGATCAGAAAAAAACATCCTTTCGGGAGTGTGGTCCATACATTAGACATTCTTGGGAAGAATCTGAGTGGAACGTCTTTCTTACTAGTGGAATAATGTCGGAACGAAGTTGTAAGACAAGGAAGGATTCATCAAGCACAAAGTTCCATAAACGCTTTTGGACTCTATCAGGGCTGGCAAGTGATGACTGGATAGCCCCAGCCCAGAAACTTGTAACGTTCCCTCATCACCGGGCAAACACCCAGAGTTTCCCTCTAACGCAATGGACGGGTATTCTCTCAAGGAAGCCTCTTGTTTTGAAAGCCTATTGCTCAGACTTTAAGAGGAACTCATATATACAATCCATCGTTAAAGATGCTTGAAAAATTGTTGGTTCCCTTTACAGCTCCAATAAATACCTCCTGCTCTGCTCTAGCTTTACAAGAGCCAGAAAATGGAGTACTGTTGCCATATTTGGGCTGGTGCTGCCCAGTCTTCACTTTCCATTCTTGATAATCCAAAAGTGTCTATGCAGCCTTGTGAGTGATGAATAGTTTTCCACTTTACAACCTCTTTCTCCACAGATGAAACATTGCAAGCCTTTTGTTACTTAACTGCTACATTCCTTAATTCTTCCAACTCTAACTCTCCCAGCTAAGACCTGCCATGCCACACACATTGAGGCGAATCATCCTCATTTCCTTTGTATTCCATCAATAAGGAGTAAGTTCCACTCAGCTTCCCAAGAACTGCCTGCTTTGGGGAACAGTATCCCAGGAGAAGGCTTTTTCAACCAGCACAATCTTAGACCTCTTCAAGTCTAGGGTTAACTGTTATCTTTCCCACATGTCTGCATAAACTGTGCCCCTTAAATTTATAGCTCACACAACCACTTTCAGTAACGCTTTACCTTGAATTGTCATTGAGCTTTGCATAAGGTAAACATTATTAAAAGAAGACTATATTTTTGTAAAGATAAAGCATAGCAGAAGGAATCAGATACTTACTGGAGTGGCACAAGGAACCGATCATTCTTCGAGACTCTTTAGATTTTGAGTGTATGTATCGTAATATATGCCGTAATAGTGGGCAAAACAAATTCGTTAAGCCCAGTGAACCGTCCCCACAATGCACAAATGGCAAGGCATATACTTTTTACTTTAAAGTATCCAGGAAAGGAAGTATGTGTTAAGTCTTGAAGATAATCATCTACTGCCATGAAGCTCACTGTGATGAAATCGATCAAGCAGCGACTAATTTTAATCACTAACAACATTGATTAAAATAACATTTTTTCACTCTATGAAAGAAAGAAAGAAAGAAGGAAGGAAAGACAGAAAGAAGGAAGGAAAAAAAGAGTCAGGAAGGTAGGAAAAGGGAAGAATAGGAAGGAAGGGAGAGTCCGGAAGAAAGGAAGAAATGGAAAGGAAAGGTGAGTTTGAAAGAAAGGGAAAATAGAGAGATGAGAAGGAAAACAGAGACTGGAAAGAAGAAAAAAAGGAAGGATAGAAATGAAGAGAAAGTTAGGAAGGAAGGAAAAAGAAAGGGATATGAAATAAAGAAAGAAAATGGCGGGTGAGACGGGAAAGAAAAAAATGAATAGCGTGAAAGGAAGGAAAGAAAAAGAAAGAGACGGAAGGAAATTGAAAAAAAAAAGGAAGGAAAAGTATAAGAAGAAAGAAACGAGAAAAAAAAGCAGGGGATATAAGAAAGAAAAAGAGTATCCGGAAAGGGGAGTGGAACAAAGAGAAAGAAGTAAACGAAAAAGAGGGAAAAATAAGAAAGAAAATGAGTCAATTGAAGAAACGTTTAATTAAAATGAACGAAAAGAGTTGAGTTTTAGCAAAGAAAAATTACAATTGAAGAAAGAAAAGCAGAAAAAAAAGCCCCAAAAATGCAAAAGGAGAGAAAAAGAGAGCAAGAAAGAGATTGTGAAAAAGAAGCTAAAAAGATGAAATGGAACGATCGAATGGTCGACGTTTAAAAAGAAAAAAAATTGCAACAACATTTATTAAATTAACATTCCTACACTCATAGACCAGGTCCTGGACGCCAATATCGTACAGCCGTTCACCAATATCAGAACACCATAAGAATATTAGTGGCAGATCTTCAGATAGGAACCTGAATATTTACTAGTAGCTGGATTACAGACAATCGCGTCTCTAGCCAGGCCGAACATCTGGCGTCAAGGCGTTGGCTGTCATAAGTTACAATTCTCGCTTAACTTTGGTGCTTATGAAAGGAACGACGCTATATACATTCAACACGTTTTGATGCCATTATTGCAGCAGAAGATACACGTGTGACCCAACTTGCTCTACAAACTTGCTGACACGATCGGCAAACTCTCCTCCATTGATCATGTATAGAAAAATACCTGACAATAGCTTTATTAGTAACACTTGCTGAATTACTACAACAGCTTCAAGAAACATAGACTAATGTAATTCAAGATGGTATTCGTCATCTGTACGATGGTACGCGTGCTAGAGTACAGGTTAATGTTAATGCCCCAAAAGGATATCAAGATCACTGGAATTGCGTAACCCAGTAAGGGCCGTAGGGGAATAATATATACTTAATCCGTAATAACAGTGGTGTATCTCAGGCAATATAGCCTGATGAAGGCCAAACTACCCCGGGTTGGTTTGAATTAAGAGTTTTCATTCTCCTAGATTCGTCACCAAGTAAGGCTATAGGACTTAATCTATCCTACGATTTACACATAGCTGGCGATGGGGGGGGGAGAAACGAATTCATAGCTTTCCCGAGGGTTATAGTACGTAAGTGAATGCCATGAACCCGACTGGAATTCGAACTCGGTTCTCCAATTCCTAGGTCCGAGCCGCTATCAATTACTCCACCATTCATATGCAGGGAGTTATACAGTGCAGAAGAGGCACGGTGGAGTAATGGATAGCGGCTTGGATTGAGAAATCGGAGAGCCGAGTTCGAATTCTAGTCGAATCCATTACATTCACTAACGTGCTAATACCCTTAGGAAAGGTGTAAATCCTCTTCTTCTCCCTCCAGCTATGGGTAAATAGCAGGACAGACTGGGTTCTATAGCCTTGGATGGCAACTGGTCTAGGAGAAGGAAAACTCTGAATTCAAACCTGCTCTTAGAGGAGGGTGAATGGAGTCTCTTTGAGCCTTGGTTAGTGATGGTGACACGATAAAAACACCTTTGATAGCCCTATCAAGAATTCAGCTATTTGACAAGATTACGAACTACATCAATCAAAGTATTAGCTATGAGAGATAAGGAATACTGGAAAGGTGTAGTGAGTTCAATCTCGGCTGAGGCCGCAAGATGATGATGATTCAGTGCATAAATTTGAGGCCTAATTACTGTAATAAATGCTATATTTCGGCTGTTGTGCATGTACTGACCTGTCTATATGATCATTTACTGTAATCAAACTGTATTACATCTACCTTTCAAACCTGAATAAACTGCAGCACATATTTAGGGTGTTGTCATTTTATTTTCGGTCAGTGTATATATAATAGTTTTTGTCCCAAATAAAAGCTGCAATTTCATGTACCGAAGTTTGTTTTCTAGCCAGCCCCAATACAAACAAACGCAAATCCCAACCCCAGAGGTTAATCAGCACAGGTTTTGCTGTTTTACTTCTGTTTTGTAGTTTTTGCCACATAAAAATGTCAAAATATTCAATTTTCTTTTTAAACGTCGACCATTCGATCGTTCCATTTCATCTTTTCAGCTTCTTTTTCACAGTCTCTTTCTCGCTCTTTTTCTCTCTCCTTTCGCAATTTTGGGGCTTTTTTTCCCCTGTTTTTCATTCCTCAATTTGATGCCTCCAATTCCGATGATTCTTTCTTCATTTGTAATTTTTCTTTGCTGAAACTCAACTCTTTTCGTTCATTTTAATTAAACGTTTCTTCAATTGACTCATTTTCTTTCTTATTTTTCCCTCTTTTTCGTTTATTTCTTTCTCTTTGTTCCTCCCCCCTTTCCGGTTACTCTTTTTCTTTCTTATATCCTCTGCATTTTTTTTTCTCGTTTCTTTCTTCTTATACTTTTCCTTCCTTTTTATTTTCAATTTCCTTCCGTCTCTTTCTTTTTCTTTCCTTCCTTTCCCGCCATTCATTTCTTCTTTCCCGTCTCACCCGCCCTTTTCTTCCTTTATTTCATATCCCTTTCTTTCTCCTTCCTTCCTAACTTTCTTCTCCTTTCTATCCTTCATTTTTTCTTCTTTCCAGTCTCTGCTTTCTTTCCTATCTCTCTATTTTCCCTTTCTTTCGAACTCACCCTTCCTTTCCATTTCTTCCTTTCTTTCGAACTCTCCCTTCCTTCCTATTCTTCCCTATTCCTACCTTCTTGACTCTTTTTCCTTCCTTCTTCCCTTTCTTTCTTTCTTTCTTTCTTTCTTTCTTTCTTTCTTTCTTTCTTTCTTTCTTTCTTTCTTTTTAGAGGGTATAGATCATGTTTCTGTTATCGTGCTAAATTATTTTAATCTTTGTTTTCTTTAGACATGATCGAAATTCACTAACCTCTTTCCCACTCCACACATTTTTATCCTCTATTTTTTCGTATTATTGTCTATTATTTTACTGTATTTGTTTTTTCTCTAAATCACTTGATAGTTTGTTTCTCGCGCCTGCCTTATTTGGCTGCTCAAAGAAAATAGCAAACGCCAACGAATCTTTTGTCCAACGAAGCCTACAAGTCTCTTTCGGTTCTCTGTTGATCGTCAATGCATGATTGCCTTCGATAGAAAAAGCGAACAAAATGTTGAGTTTTACGGCAAAGAAAAAAAAAAGGAGGCGCTTCGGTTCACCCCATATTTTCTTGTGTTTATTTTAACATAAAAGCTATTCAATAAGTGACGCCTTCATTCATTATTTTTCTTCTCTTTCTTCTTTGTCGCCTTTTATTCTCTTCTTTGTATTTAATAAATTTAGCTTCGTATAGCACAAAACTAAATAAGCGTAGAAAGATCATGTTGCGCCAATCTTTCACCAGTGGAGAGCTGCCTATCGTGAAAATCAGCCTTCAAAATCCGGGTTTATTATTTATTATACTTGGCTTTGTTTAGTATAAACTTACTGGACGAATGCGCTCTGTAGGGGTCGAACTACCTACAATGTTAATTTGGGAGCTAAACTAGTTAACCATCGAGATATATATATATATATATATATATATATATATATATATATATATATATATATATATATATAACCTACTTTGTTTATGTTTCTTTTATTATTATTATTACTCAGATGTCTGACAACATTTGGTATCGTTACTTTCTGTCACTTATTCAGCGTGTTTTTTTTTTAATATAGTTTTATCACCTGCAATTAATTTTACGTTTCTTGTTTTATGCGAAGATTATTTTCCTGTCTACAAATTTTTTTCTTTTAAATTTTTTTTCAGATTTTTCCCTCACCTTCTTCAAAAATAAATTCTCCTCCTTTTTCTTGGAATATTTATATCTTTGAAAATATTTACAACCCAAGGAGAATTGTATATATAAGGGATTTTTTAAACTGATATAACAAATATTGCGGTAATATAAACAAAGTGTATTTATCTAATTCTTTGAAAATTCAATATCATATCTAATGTGGTCTTATTAAGAAAAAAAAAAGAAAGAAAAAAAAAAGAAAGAAAAAAAGAGAGACTCGATTTTAATAAAAGCAGAAAAAATCTCTTCAAATGACGGCTTCGCTGACAATAGTAGAGATTGAGACATAAGCTATTAATCCAACAGTTCCTGTTGACTACCAGCTGCCAAATATCTCAGAGGTGTGTGGCCCTCAAAATTATCGTTCGTGGTTTTAGCTTTCTAAAGGATTTCTTTCCAGTGGTCAGAATGGGATGTTTTCTTTTCCTTTTGATGTGAAACAAAAACAGAAATAAACTGATGCAGGAAGAGACCAGTCATTGAGCCAGGTTATCCCGACAATCGTTCCGCTTTCGACGTGGCTCTTTTATTTCGATCTCCTGCTTTGTCCCGACTCTAATCCTCTTAATAATTAGTCAAGTGGGAATGCTTCAAGTTTAAACTAACAACTAAGACCAATTACAAAAGCAGATTGTATTTTGGTTTAACAAAGCGCTCACATGTTTTTATAAACAAATTGGTTTTATTCAATGTCTGCCTTATGATCTTGTGTTGTGTGCATCACTGTTTTCTCATCTTCTCTTTCTTGTATATATGCAATGTACGAGCTTATGTGAATGTCTAGAACAAACACACACACATATATACGTCTAAAAGGTATATATGAATATATATATGCAATATACGAGTATATGTGAATGCCTTTATATATATATATATAATGGGAGTGGTTTATTAATTTGTTTATTATTTGCTTGGGTTAATTTATTTTACAAGTTTTATTAATTATTTTGTTTATTTTTATTTATTCTTTTCAGTTTTCGATTTAAAAATTTGTTTTCGTGTCTGCATTTTGAGATGAGCTCAGATCCTTTATTTAGCAATTTATTTTGGTCTGGGAAGGTAATAATAATTATTTTTTCCTTCAGGCAAAGTTTGCAGGTTTTGGATTGATTGTTGTAGGCTGATGGTCTTTTTCTTGTTTTCCATGATATTTTTGGTGTGATTTGCGTTTTGTTTTTAATTTCCCAGATATACTTAGAAAGCATTGGGCTGTTCGCGTATTTACTATTTGTGAAAGATGTTTTGTGTACATAATTTCTTTGTTTCCAGGGTCCTTCAGTTACTCCTATATATACTTTTTCTTCATTATCTGGTAATTTTACTGTAGCTTGGTATATTACATTGTTTTGTGAACAATTACCGTTTAAGGGACATTCACTCTTTATTCTACAGTTACACGTGGGTTTAATTTGTTCATGTGGTTTGTTGATAGTTTTCCTATTGTGTTTTTTTATTATTTGTGCCATGTTCTCGGTGCAGCTGTAGGTGATTTTTATAGCGTTTTTATTGAATATTTTGTGTAGGGTGCTTGATTCCGGGAATTGTTTGTTTAGGAGTTTGAAGAATATTTTACCTATGTTTGTGTTTACGTTTTTGATGCACGGTGGGATGAACCATATGATATTTCTCTTCCCTGTTGGCCTTTATTGTGCTTCTGTGCACAAAAAAACGCCAACAGGAAGAGAAATATTAAATTGAGGTCCACTATATATATATATATATATATATATATATATATATATAATTTAAAATTACAATCATAGGTCGTCTTTTAAACTAGCAAATCTTAGGTAATCTACCAAAATAGCTAACCATGGGTGGAATTTAAAAGAAAAATAACAGGTATTCGTTGATAAATTGGAAATTTTTAAAAATACCAAAACCATACAACAACCACAACAATATTTGCAACCTG